CAGCCTGGTGGCGCAATGGAGTGTGTGCCGCTTGGGAGCACGGCGGCGCTCCCGCAGAGGGTTCAGATCCAATGTGGAGACTGGTTCCCACTCACTGGCTGAGCGTGGTGCGGGCACAACACTGAGGGTTGCGATCCCATTACCAGTCAGTAAAAAAGACAAAAAAGGAAAAAAAAAAAAAAAAAAAGCTAACAATGAGGGCCAGCCTGGTGGCGCAATGGAGTGTGTGCCGCTTGGGAGCACGGCGGCGCTCCCGCCGAGGGTTCGGATCCCATGTGGAGACTGGTTCCCACTCACTGGCTGAGCGTGGTGCGGGCACAACACTGAGGGTTGCGATCCCATTACCAGTCAGTAAAAAAGACAAAAAGGAAAAAAAAAAAAGTTAAAAATGAAGGCCTTCAAGGCCACGATGGCCTGGCCTTCTGTCACCCTCTGATTTCATTGTGCACCACTGTCCCATGCTTGCTCTGCACCAACCACACTGGCCTCCTTGAGCACAGCAGGCACACACCCACCTCGGGGCTGGCACACTGCCCTCTGCCTGGACAAACTCCCCTAGATGTCTGCACCACTTCGGGTCTCACCTCCTCTCCTCGCTGGCTGCCTTCAGGCCATTCCTGGCCTCTCTACCTAAAACTGCAGTCTCCCCTCCACCAATACCCTACATTCCCTTTCCTGCTTTATTTTTTTCTTTAGCATGTATCAACACCTCACACACAAATATTTTACTTGTTTATCATTTCGTCTGTCCATCTCTCCCTCACTAGAATACGGAAGAGAATTTTTGGCCGTTGTATGCACTGCTGTATTCTCAGTGCCTATTGCAATGACTGACCATATATACTTTGATTTCCATATTTATTACTCTCTGAATGAAGGAAGGAAGAGGATAGAAGGAAGAAATAAGTGAGCACATCTTCAGCTGTAGGCTGGCCTCAGGCCAAAACCAAGAATCACAAATTAAGAGGCAAAAAACCCAAAACACAATGACTGTCACTTTCTCCTTTGCAGATATTCTCAGCTGAAACAAACTCAATGAAACTACTTTTGGAATTAAGTCTACATTTTACGTAATTCATTTATGTTAAAACAGCTCACACAGAAGTTGAACTTGAATACAAGACCTACTGTCGAAACCCTAAATCGAATGATTATTTTTTATGTGATTCGACATCCTCTTTTGTATTAAACTTTTGTGTAAGTCATCTGGGGCTTTGCAGCTGAAAGTGCAGTCAGTGGACTAGCAACAGCAGGCCTCACCTGCGGGCTGTTAGAAATGCAGACTCCTGGGTAGCAAGATTCCCAGATGCTTCCCCAGCATGTTATGATTTCGGAACCAGTCATCTACTAAAGTCTTCCCCCAAATATAAGAATCTTCTATGAGAACCCTGGCAGGTGTAAGTAACTTAGCCTCTGTCTGAACGCCACCATCAGAAGGAGAATCGCAGGTTCTACCTCACAGGTGTTGTAAGACAATTACTCCTACAACAATTGTAAGACAACCATTTTTAACCAGTGATCATTGTTCAGCCATCAGGAGAGAGACACCTGCTATCTCACGCTGTTTGTATTCTGGGCTGTGTAGAATACCACACACAGCATCACTATTACACCACCACCACTAGATGTGCTTACAAAATTCCAATCAGGGAACTCACCAGGAGAGGCCCTCTATCTTTCTACTAGGAAGTGGCCTCTGTGGCCTCTACTCTCCAAATCTAGTATTCCCCTTAGCACCAGAAGGAACAGTGTGACCCACATGAGAGACCTTCATCAATGTGAAGAGAATCAGTGTATTCTCCAGGACTTCATTTCCCAACACCACCTGGTCTAGGATTTCTTCACTATCCCGGACTCTTGAAAAGCATCACGAGTGAATGCAATATTCCTGTGTAGCTTCACTAGCACACAGCAGAGAAGTATAATGTTTTAAAAATAGACTTTATTTTTAGACCACTTTAAGGTTCACAGAAAAGTTGAGAGGAAGGTTACAGGGATATCCCATATACCCCCTGAACCACACACGCACAGCCACCCCCAGCGTCAACATCTCCCACCACAGTGGTGCATTTGTTACAACTGATGATCCCACACTGACACATCATAATCACCTAAAGTCCAAAGTTCACGTTAGCGTTCGCTACTGCTATTGTTCTTTCTGTGGGTTTATATCAATGCATAACAACGTGTATCCAGGGTAATGGTATCACACACTGTAGTTTCACTGCCCTAAAAATCTTCTGTACCCCATTTATTCATCCCTCACTCCCGGGAACCAGTGATCTTTTTACTGTCTCCATAGTTATGCCTTTTCTGGAATGTCATACATTTGGAATCATACAGTATGTAGCCTCTCACATTGGCTTCTTTCTCTCAGAAATATGCATTTAAGTTTCCTTCATGTCTTTTCATGTCCTGATAGCTCGTGTCTTTCTAGTGTTGGATAATATTCCATTGTCTGAATGTACCACAGTTTATCCATTCACCTACGAAAGGACATATTGCTCGTTTCCAAGTTTTGGCAATTATAAATACAGCTGCTATAAACATCCTCATGCAAGTTTTTGAATGGAGATAAGTTTTCAGCTGCTTTGGGTAAATACCAGGGAGTGCAACTGCTGGATCACATGGTAAGAGTATTTTTTAGTTCTGTAAGAAACTGCAAAAATGTCCTCCGAAGTGGCTGTACCATTCTATGGGTTTCAGCAATGAAAGATAATTCCTCCTGCTCCACATCCTCGCCAGCATTTACTATTGTCAGTGTTCGGGATTTTGGCCATCCTAATAGGTGTGTCGTGGTGATTTTGGTCATTCTCACAGGTGTGTAGTGGTGTAGGTGTGAAGCCATCTGTATATCGTCTTTGGTGAAGTGTCTGTTAAGGTCATTGGCCCAATTTTTAATCAGGTTGTTTTCTTATTTTGGGATTTTAAGAATTCTTTGTATATTTTTTCTTTTCTTTTAAATTTTTAATTTTATTTCACTCACTTTTAATTTTTATCATGATAAAATATACCAAACATAAAATTTACCATTTTAACCACTTTAAACTGCACAGTTCAGTGGCCTTAGGTGCAATCACATTCTTGTGCAACCATCACCACCATCCATCTCCAGAAATTTTTCATCACCCATGCTGAAATTCTGCACCCGTTAAACAAGATCCCATACCCTCTTCCCCTCAGTCCCTGTTTACCACTACTCTACTTCCTGTAAGAATTTGACTATCCTACGTACTTCATATAAGTGGAACAATACAATGTTTGTCTTTTTGAGTCTGGCTTATCTCACTTAGCATAAGTTCTTCAAGCTTCATCCATGCCGTACCATGTATCAGTACTTCATTCTTTAAACTTTTATTTTTTTTAATTTTAACATTAATTTCTACATATTTGTGGGCTATAGGGTGTTGTTTCAATACATACATATACTGTCAATTAATCCACTTAGGGTAGGTACCATAGCTTTGTACCTGTTAGTCAACCAGTCCCTGCCACCACAGCCATCCTCACCCTCCCTCCCCTGCTGGGACTTTGGTAACCATAATTCTACTCTCCATTTCTATGAAATCCTTCATTTTTTTTAAGCTTCCACATATCATGTGGTATTTGTCTTTCTTTGCCTGGCTTACTTTGCTTAAAATGATGGTCTCCAGTTCCAGTCATGTTGCTGCAAATGACATGATTTCATTTTGTTTTATAGCTTAATAGTATTCCATTGTGTATATATACTACAGGGTTTTTTTTTTTTTAATTTTAATCCATTCATCTGTTGATGAGCATTCAGCTTGATCCCATCTCTTGGCTATTGTGAATAGTGTTTCAATGAACATGGGAGTGCAGATGTCTCTTTGATACATTGGTTTCATTTCCTTTGGAAATATACCCAGTAGTGGGATGACTGGATCATCAGGTAGCTCAATTTTTAGTTTTCTGAGGAACCTCCGTACTGTTTTCCAGTATGGCTGTACTAATTTACATTCCCACCAAGGCAGTAGTTCCTTTTTCTCCACATCTTTACCAGCATTTGTTATTTTCTCTTTTTGATAAGAGTTATTCTAACTGAAGAAAGATATCACATTGGAGGTTTTTTTTTTTTTTTGTGGCCGGTAAGGGGATCGCAACCCTTAGCTTGGTGTTGTCCGCACCGCGCTCTGCCAGTGAGCGCACCGGCCATCCCTACATAGGATCCGAACCCGCGGCGGGAGCACCGCTGTGCTCCCAGCACTGCATTCTCCTGAGTGTGCCACGGGGTCAGCCCAACACATTGGAGTTTTAATTTGCATTTTTCTGATTAGTGATATTGAGCACTTTTTCATGTGCCTGTAGGCCATTTGTATGTCTTCTTTTGAAAAAAGTCTGTTCAGGTCAAATGCCCATTTTTTAATTTGGCTGTTTTGCTGTTGAGTTACTTATATATTTTGGTAATTAGACCCTTGTCTGATATGTAATTTGCAAATACATTCTCCCCTTCTGTACCTTTGCTCTTCACTTTGTTTATAGTGTCCCTTGTTGTGCAGAAGCTTTTCAGTTTGAAATAGTCCCATTTATCTATTTCTGCTTTAGTAGCCTGTTCCCTTGTAGTCTTGTTCAAAATAGCACGGCCCACTCTCATTTGTTGTAGCATTTTCTCAACGTTTCCTTCTAGTAGTTTGAATTTCTGGTCTTAAGGGTTCAGTGTCTCACAAACCTATTGTGCACCTTGGTCTTGGGATACAGGTTCGCACTCTGTGGCAGTGTTAGATATTGACTGCCCACAGCCCCAGGATCTGTGGCTGCAGCCCTCCTGGCAGCTTGCACTTTGTTAGCTGTGACTCTGGCCCTGGGGTGAGGTGTGAGGGGGTGCTGAGCACAGCACTGGCCTGACTCTGGGGGAGAAAGGGTACTCTGGAGGTTTGGACCTGGGGAGCAGAGTATGACTGCAATTTGGGAACGAAAGCTAATGTGGCTTAGTTGTCACTCAGTTCACAGGGGATGAGGCACCTTGTAGTGGTGACTTTAGCCCCTGAAACAGGGGGACTTAGCACTATCTGCATCTTCAGAGGCCAGTTGCAGTGGCACCATAAACCCAGAATGGAGGGGTGCAGATTTTCCGGCTTTGGGGGGAAGGAAGTAACAGAGCGCTGACTTCACTCCCCAGGGGAAGGGGTTTCTCAGCAGTTAGTCTCTAAGATAACAGTCTAGCTCCAGGGATGCAAAGTACCAGAGTTGTCCAGCCCCTCACCTCAGCCACTGCTCTGTTTCCCTGGGATGTGAAGCACTACATCAGCTCAGCCCTGAATTACATAGATGCTTAACTCAGCCAAGAAGCTTCTCAACTAAGACAACAATTCCCAAGGGGCAATGCACCCCTTCAGCTCAGTCCCTGAAGGTGGACTGGGAGGGGTAAAGATTCCCCCAGAGGGAGTGTGTAGCTTTGCAGCTTAAGTTCTAGCTTGAGGGTGAGGACACAGCTACCCCCCACTCCTCCCCACACCATAAGACACCCTCCAGCAGCACTTCTGGTTCTAAGATGGGGAAGAAGACTTGTGAGCCACCGATGGCGGGGTATGGTGTGATCTCCTTTGGGGGAGCACAACTGTGTGGACTCCAGGCAGCTCCTTCAGCTGGGCTTGGTGCCTTTCTATATATTTCAGATAAGTCTTTTATCAGATATGACTTTTGCAAATATTTTCTTCAAATCCATAGCTTGTGTTTTCATTCCTTTCACAGTTTCTTACATGGCAGAAATTTTTAATTTTAATAAAGTCCATCTTGTCAATTATTTATTTCATGAGTTATGTCTTTGGTGTTGTCTGAAAAGACACCACCAAACACCTGCTTGGTGTTCTCTGAGATTTCAGAATCTGTAGTTTGATGTCTGACATTAATTTCGGGAAATTCTCAGTCATTATTTCCAATATGTCTTCTGTTACTTTCTTACTTCTCCTTCTGGTATTCCCATTATAGACATGTTATACCTTTTGTAGCTCTTCCATGATTCCTGAATATTCTGTTCTTTTTCCTCCTCAGTCTTTTTTCTCTTTGCTTTCTAGCTTTAGAGGTTTCTATGGAGATGTCCTCGAGCTCAGAGATATCCTTTTTTCAGCCATGTGCAAACTATTAATAAGCCCACCAAAACCATTCTTCACGTGTTTTTGATCTGTAGCAATTCTTTACTATTCTCTTAGAATTTCCATCTATTATGAATAGATTGAATTGTGTCCTCCCCATGTTTAATATATTGGAAGACTGGTCACCACTGTGAACGTGTTAAGAGGTGGGAAATCCTATTATGGTAATTGAAAGGTGGGCCTTGAATAGGTGATTAGATTCTGAAGATCATGCCTAGTGAAGGACTAACAATGGTGGTCATGGGCGTGGTTCCGAGAAAGCTTTAAGAGAAGAGCACATGAGAAGTCCTCTCTCAGCCCTTTTCTGCCATGTGAGACCTCTGCATTGCTGTAAAGCCATGACCAAGGAAGACCCACACCAGATGTGTTCCCTGGACTTTGGACTTCCCAGCTGAAAGTGTAAGCAATTAATTTTCTTTTCTNAAACTGGATGGAATTGAGTGAATTTCTGAGTGTCTGGAGGCACAGTAGGAAGGGGAGGAGGTCGGGGAAGAGAGACCAAAGAGAAGAGGTCGACGAACACACTCAGTAAGAACTCACAGATGACTTAGGAAGCAAAGCGAATACCTACTTTCAATATACTGTGGATTAGCTGAGAGTAAGACATTCTTTCTGAACTGTACAGTCGTCTTTCCCTAACGCAAGGGACAGAAATACAGGCATATACTTGCAACCAACCTAAAATATCCTGTATAACAGAAATGTGGTGAAAAGAAGGAAAAAATGCCAACAGGGAAATGTCGACCATTAGTGGGCCTTGGCTTTATCTTGTGATTTCTTGGTGTCCATTCTTGCCTCTCCGCGCACTCTCACCACCTCGAGATACTCAGTGGGATTTGTGTCTTCCCAGAACCACCTTGATACAGTTGTTGGTGAAAGTGCAGAGCAAGATCCCTCCACACATTAAGTACAATGTTAGGAGAGTGCAGGGAACTGCTCCTGCTGGCAGGTGAATTGCATACTACCTGCACATCACTGTGCAAAACGTTCTTAACTCCAATAGCTGTAATTCTGTTTTCTTTTGGGTAACTAATATGTAGGTAAGAAACACAGATCCATCCTGTAGAGCTAAAGAGACATGATTAACAAAAGAGAAAAGAGAAATGCGCGAAATGACTAATCCTCTGGAATGACAATCATTTTCCCTTTTTCCTTCTTGGAAGATGTCTATCCTGCCCCTAAACAGGCTGGGCTATAGAACAAGAGAAAGAAAAAGCAGTCAAAGGGCACTGCATTAATTTCCATACAACTGCACATATCTGAAAATCATTTGTTTGAATACCTCCACTTCAGTGATATCATCCAA